ACAGAGACAGCAGCTGAGTCTTCTTCCTCTTCAGGGAAATCCACCAGAGATCACCTCCAGCTAAGAAGTCTGTGATGACTGAACTCTGAACTTTTCCAGGGACAGGTGAGAGCAGGTCCAAGAGGTTGTGAGTAATGAGGCCAAACACAGCCACACTGCAACATTAGCAAAACTCCACCTCTTTATTCCTGCTACTGTTGTTAGTGAGCGGTTTTCTCCACCGCTGGAGATATTCACTGCAACTAGATCTGTGCTTTTGGCAGAAAATGTGGCCAAGTTGGTCTTTTTGACAAAAACTTAAAACTTGATTAGTTAGATTGTAAATGGTCTGTTGCTGCTTATTGTTCTGGTTCTGACTGTTATTGTATTTATTAAGATTTTTATTATTCTTAGTATAGTTTATTTAACGTAAAGAGTGCCGTTTATTTAAAATATCATCCAAATGGGTTGCTTTTATTTATTTTTATACTAACGTATCTTTTACTTGGCATATTTTCAAAATAAACATTTTGCAAGTCTTCATTTTGTCTGTTTTGTACAGAAAATTAATTGAACACATAAAAAGGCTAAACCTTGTTGCCTTCATTTTGTCTTTTGTCTTAGGGCAATAAATGCCCAGTATATCTGTTCAGCCACCTAATATATATTAAAGTACATATTCATGACAATACACGCTATGTTCAAAATTTGTGTCACACAGCAATTCAGGGTTGTTCTATTATTTTCTGTCTTGGCCATTTTAGATGTCTCACAGGTCTACACAGTACAAACATGACCTCAAAGGTCATGGCAGTGTGTTTCATGTTTCCATTATTGCATCAGAGTAACGTCACTCTAATGGAAACCATGGTATCTCGCTTAATCCATGGGAGAAAGTACCACATTAATTACAATGACTTCCAATCAAATCCTCTTTGAAATGGCATGATTAACAAATTCTTGTCAGAAAAATCAACAGCAGCAGCCATGAATGAAGTTGATAATTATGATTTGACTTGAGTTGAAACATTATTTTTTTCTTTCTCAGAACCTCACGCAGGTGTAGTAATACTTTCTACCATTTAATTACCAACGGTGAAGTCCTTTGCTGTATTGAATTTATAAACATGTATTTACTCTAATACTGAGCATTTGTCACAGTGGCCTCTCAATACTCAGTTCAAAGGGTTTAAATGTTTGCTTGGGGGTGTCGTGCATTAAAAAGTCTTAGTACTCCTTGCACTGCTGCAATAAAACCCAAGCATTTAACATGTGTATTTATGGTCCTCAATAACCCAGAAGTCTTAATAAAAATGAAAGCTGACATTGGCATGAAGGATCCCTCACACTAGCTGTCTTTAATGTCCAAGACATTCCATTAAAAGGAGAGCACTTCCATAGAAGCAGAGCTTTTATCCTGATTGCTTACAGGAAGAGAGGAGGGAGGAAAAGAAAAAGAAACCAAACGACCTTCAGAGCCTCCACAACTAGCCCTATGTATGTGCTTTGTGAACAGACACGTTTGCATGCACAACATGCAAAGATGCACTGACACAGAGACATATGTATGAATGTGGCATGTGGAATGACAAGGAAAAGCAAAAGTGTTGATTCTCTGACAGCAGATGTATGAGGTCATGGAGATGTGTGCTAATGCACATGTCTGAATCATTGGCTACTTGGTATTCTCTGCTTGTACTGGGAAGCCTCCTCACTGTTTAAATCATAACAATTATTAGGAGATAGGTGGGGGAATAAAGCCAAATTTACATCTTCAATTAGTGCCTGTGCGATGCCAAATAGATAATATGTGGGAATGGCTAATGTCCTTGTCTCTGAACTTCCTTTGCCGTTTTCTGTTTTGAATGAAAAAAAGGAGAAGAAGAAGATGGGGACAGAGATTTGCCTCTGTGGGAATGCAGCTGTTGAGCTACATTTAATAAGCTGGTCAAAAAATAAATAAACTCCTGCCAAGAGAGACTGGGCTTTTAATGACCATTCTGCTTCTAAAGTCTTAGATGAGCAGATAGACTGCTCACCACACAGCGGACGTGGAAGCCATCTTATTAATAGCATCATGCCACACATGCAGCCGACCAGGAAGCAGAGAGTGGAAAAAAGGGAGAGACATGCTGGAGGAGCAACATGCATGCTTTAACTCTCTCAGAGGCAGGGAGACAGATGGGTGCAGTAAGCAGGAGATTAGATGTAGAAGGCAGGCCAGAGTCCAGACTACAGTCTAAAATATGAAAAAATAAAAAAATAAAAAAAACCACGAGAGGTCGTCCAGGCCCTCAAACAAGCCAGAAGGGAGATGCTGTGTGATGAATGTACCTTGTGACCGGAGCCCTCGGCACACCCTACATTAGGACGTCACCGAGGCCGGGCCAGGGGAGCAGATGATCAAAGAAAAAAGGCCAGAAGCCTGGCTTGATATAGGAAGATTCAGATTATTAAATAACCTTCAGGAGCAGTATGGAGCATTGGTGATAACTTGTTACTCAGCCACCAGTAGGCATAAAAATTGTGTGTTAGATGGAAAGTCTATGCAGGGAAGGATGACAGAGTGTGTACAGTAAGAGTGCTGTCATTAAACACACCAGGGAGCTTGAGAACAATGCGTCATTGTGGATTTGCTTTCTTTTTTTTTTTGCCTTCCGTTTTAATATCCTGGATCTGAGCAGAAGCTGTGAAGGAGAATGTTTGTGAACGTAAACAACAAAGTAAATCTTATTCGATGCAGACTTATTTTACATGAGAGTTCATTTACATTCAGTATAATGTCAGACCCTGAATTAAGGACAGGGAATAAGGTTTTAATTTAGAGCAACTGTGATTAAAAATATCAGAGATACATTGTTTACTGCACTGCTTCCTGGCTTAATTTCCATTCAAATGAAAAAAATAATTAAATAAATGAACTCAATATAAGAACGTCTTTCTGAGATGCAGCAGTGTTCAAACACAAATTAGAAATCATCACTGAAAGCAGGTGTGCTCACAAAACATAGTGTAATTTATTTGATTTCAGATTTTTTTCTTCAATTTGCACTGATATGCTTAACTTTTTTGATTCCTCTCATGTTTATTGCGTTGCCTTGGCAACGAGAGCATCCCTCCAATTTCTGCTACACTGGAGCCTTTGAAAGCAGGTGCAGAACGACATTTCTCCACTTGGATTTCCTGTCACATCCTGCAGCCCACTCCAGTCCTAAACTTTCTATAATTACAACAATCTGTGCTCCGACAGAGTCTGTGTGAAATCTGATTGCCATTGGTAACATTCGCAACGAGAGTCCTGCCGTGATAGAAGGCTTCCTGTTTCAATTTCTCAGGATCCCTTCAAGTTTTTGCTTGCTCTTTTTTTTTTTTTTTTTTGTTTTCATCCCATCAGTGGGGCATACATTTCTATTCAGGGGGAAAAAAAACAGACCCGGTAATATCCAATTTACTGGAAAGCAGAGGAGATGGTTTCACCAGCAATATAATAATATGCTACATGGAGCGTAGCATTATAGAGTATGAATAAAAAAGGCACCGATGACAAAAAATTCAATACAAATGCAGTCATCATTCATTGGAGGAAATCAAAGCAATTAGTAACACTTTATTGCAAATTGGAGAACACAAAGCACATCACAAATCTGGTTTTGTAATGGGTCCAAAAGAGGATCAGCTGAGAAGACTTCATTTAAATTCACAATGGTGTTCCAATCAAACATCCAAGAACAGATACAATAATGTGTAGAAGTTTTAAACCCTTGATTTCCTTGCATCCATGGAGCAAGGTTTATTCTAATCTCTGAAAACGGTCTTCATCAGTATATCTTCAAGCTGTCTCAAGGTCTTTTAAACAGTTTTCTTTGGACTTTATTTGCTTTTCCCCTATTTCCTGTCCACTTATTTGAACCAACATTTTGTATAATTTGTTCATTTAATATGAAGCAGGTGGAGAAGTGAAGGACAATAGAAGGACACAAATCAGAAAATTGTAGGTACTGGAGATACAACAGGTTAAAAAGCAACAAAATTCCAAAAATAATTTAAAAAGCCTTGAGAAAGCCAGAAGTACTGATTAGGATCACTTTAGAAGCTTACAAGCAGGTTAGTGTCCTTGTGAGTTAAATATAAGGAAATGAATGACTCAAGACATTTGCACAGACTGTAGAAATCAGTCCTGAGCACAGCACTGTCTGGGCCCAAGCCTCTTTCTAACGCTTTATTTCTTTAGTGTACTTTACTTCCTTGTAATGTACAATAAAATGGCAACTTTAATTTTCCAACCACGCATTTCTAAAACGGCATGTTTCTAGCTTGTTGACATGCAAACATTAAGGCTGCACAAGCGACGTGAAATTCTCTCATTTGGAACCCACACAACACAGCCAAACAGAAATGCCTTAATAAAATGTACTCAGTGGTGCTATCAAGTAAATGCATGACAATAGACTGGGTTTAGATTGATGGGTGGATTTCTGTATAATAATTTTGTGTAACAGACGATAAAGTGACCATTTTGCTCTGCAGTAACACAACCGAACCAACACAATAGATTCATTTGTATGAGCCAAAGTGCCTCTTGGAAGAACTAAGCTACAAGCAGTAAAACTCCCTTCTTAATTCAGTGATAAATTAAAGGAGCCTGAGAGATGTTTACTGGGTGTCCAAGACAAGCGTGCATGCTGTAAAATCATCACCAACGCGAGCCTTAAATCATACCCAGGTAGCATTAAGATAGCCAGAAGACGAAGAACAATGTGACTCTGTGAGTCATGTAGTTGCAGCTACTTCCTTTCTTTTAAAGAAAGTTCTTATTTCTGACCTTGATGGCAATGACAGAAAAATTCCACACATATATAAAGACATATAATGCTTTGGAGTGACAAACAGTCAATGTGATGTTGGAGCAAATACTTGTTGTGAATCTAAAACTGGCCACCACCGAAACTACTTTACATCAGAAATTATCAACCAGCAGAAATACCCCCCCCCCCCCCCCATATTTTGATGATTTTCTGTACCTTCAGAGTGGTGGGAGAGGGTAAGCAGGCTGACACAGGAAGCGCCGATCCCAGAACCAAATACAGTGATACGGTTGGAATCTCCTCCGAAGAAACCGATGTTCTCACTAATCCACCGTAAAGCCTGGATCTGGTCCAAGAGCCCATAGTTCCCTTTAGCAGCCTGGTCACCTGTGCTGAGGAAGCCTGTAAAGCAAAAAGATGAGGAAAAATAAGCACTCAAACAGTAAAAGATAATGAATGCATTGCTATATAGGGAAGAAGGATTTGATTTAACAATAAAAGCATCAACGATTATCTGCAACGGCTGACCTCATCTTCAATTTGTGATTGAAACCATCACGCCAGGTGACAGCTGCAGTGAAATCATGACTTATTACATGACAAGGCTGTTGGTAAAATAGACCACATGTCATCTGCACCTCATGGAAAATCAATGGCATGTCTCCCAGGTGAACACCAACCATAAATTACTGAGTATTGGGACATTATTCAGCATTTCTAATGAGAAACTTGCACATCCGTGGAAAATGTATGGGCTGAGTGAAGAAAAAATACTTGATTATAAGATTCACAATCATTTTCAATATCTTCCCCTGACATATTTCAAATCTCTCTTACACTTGTGTGACATTTTCAGCCCAAACATTTATAACATATGTACATTTTTCCCTCGTGTCAGTATAATCTGCAAAATGAGGCCAGAATTGGAAAAGTGTGTGTCCCCTGGGTACATCTGTGCACATGTTAACATGCCACCCTTTCTAGTCTGCTCTCTGGGGCCAAAGCCCTGCTGAATGATGGGTAATCGAGAGTCGCAGGAGAAGATCAAAGGCAAGCAATCCCTAAAGTCCCTTTGGTGGACTCGGTGTCTGTCAAATCCCCCAGCATACATGTAAGGTGACAGCTCGAAGACGTGTAGAAACCAACACCCATTTTTTTTTCTTCTCACAAGCAATAAATGTGTTGATGGTAGATGTTTAAAGGCCTCCAGTGATGGTCTTTCTGCGTGCTAGCTCTGCTGCTAATATCTATTTCATGCTCGGTGCCTTCATGTAATAATGAACTCAATTTTCAAGTCTGTGGGGAGAGGCAAATGGTTAACAGCAAAAACGATGAAGAGCAGTTGAATGTGTGCGCTTTTACTGATTTCACAAAACAAGATACAATTTAAAACTAGCTGTTTTTTTAGGGTAGACTGTTGTTTATGCCATGTTGTGTATATATATATATATATATATATATATATATGTATATACATTCTACTACTAATACGCCAAAAACTTCTTTGAAGTTGCAACAGTCGACTCTTGCATGAACCACCCCAGTCCAGGACCAAAACGTGTTCTGGCCGGATCGATGTGTCTTCTGAATGAACCGAGGTGGCAAGGGAGGGCTGAAGACAACCCACCACAGGTGTGCCCCGGTGCCCCCAAGTGAGGTAGTAACAGAGCTGGACCAGCCACAGAAAGTTGTGGTGCTGTGACACAGTATTGTGATGAACTGATTAAATTAATGTGTAATCCCCTGCTTGCAAAATTAAACACTGGAAATATTGATGGTGATGCACAGCAACTTTGTAGTTGGTTTCAATAATATAGTTAGCCACGAAAAGGATTGCTAAAGTAAGCTATTTAATCAAGGTTTGTATGAATGGGAGACTGCGACAAAATGAAGACAACACAATCTGCTCGCTACCCTACCGTAGATAAATAATATTACTAATTGAATGTTTATGTATATGAACATAGACAAAACTGAGGTTTTGGTTTTTGGACCTGAGCACCTTAGGAATGATTTTTTTCAGTCTTTCTCCCTCCTTAGATGGCATTAATCTGTCCTCCAGCTCCATTAATCTGTCCTCCAGCTCTAATGTTAAAAATCTTGGTGTGATTTTTGATCAGGACATGTCTTTTATCCCCCACATTAAAAACATTACTAGAACTGCCTTCTTCCACCTGCGTAGTATCTCTAAAATTAGAAACATCTTATCTAAAAATGATGCAGAAAAACTGGTCCATGCATTTGTCATGTCTAGACTGGACTATTGCAATGTTTTATTATCTGGGTGTCCAAATACTTTGTACTTCCTTAAAACGTCTTCCGTTGATCCAAAATGCTGCTGCCAGAGTCTTAACCGGAGTTAGTGGGAGAGATCATATTTCTCCAGTTTTAGTTTCTCTCCATTGGCTCCCTGTCAAATCCAGAATAGAATTCAAAATCATACTTCTAACCTACAAAGCCCTCAACAACCTAGCTCCATCTTCTATTACAGATCTTATTGTTCCATATTTTCCTAACAGAGCACTTCACTCTCAGACTGAAGGTTTACTTGTGGTTCCTAGAATTTACAAAAACAGAATGGGAGGCAGATCCTTCAGTTATCAGGCTCCTCTCTTGTGGAACCAACTTCCAGTTTCTGTCCGTGAGGCTGACACATTGTCCAGTTTTAAAACTAGGCTTAAGACTTTCCTTTTTGCTAAATCCTATAGTTAGGGTCGGCTTGGGTTTCCTGAGATGTCCCTTAGTTATGCTGCTATAGGCTTAGACTGCTGGAGGAAAACTCACCACAATTTTCACTCTGCTGCTGTCTTTACTCACTCTGCTCAACCTGTTTTGTATTTGTAATTATTTTTTCTATCCTTAACATGTTTTTTTTTTTTTTGTCTTTCAGGTACACCTGGACCTATACCTGGACCTACCATTCTATGTTCGTCTGTCTCTCCTTCCTGTCCTCTCAAACCAGCCGGTCAAAGCAGATGACCGCTTGTCCTGAGCCTGGTTCTGTTGGAGGTTTCTTCCTTTTAAAAGGGAGTTTTTCCTTTCCACTGTTGCCACTGTGCTTGCTCAGGATGGGAGACTGTGACAAAGCCAAGATTCAACTTGTCTGCTGGAATCCTTAGATAGAGAACTTTACTAATTGGCTTTCATGTATGCGATTGTTCCTGTAAAGTGCCCTGAGACAACTTTGTTGTGATTTGGCAGTATACGAATAAATTGAATTGAATTGAATCATTTGACAAGAGGGAGATGTCAGACACACATTTAATGCGTAGCGTTCCACTTCAGCCCAGCTGAGTTCTGCTCCACACCTCTTTTGGTTCTGCAATGCCCGTTTCATTTCTGAACACTAGTGTCTCTGCGAGAAGTGGCCGCTTCATCTGTGATTTATGAACACCCATAGAAAGCCATTTAGCTGAACTCTTATGAACAAGGCTATGGACAACAGTGACGTGTGGTGTTTATGTACAGCACAGATGAAGTCAATTCACATTAAATGTCTTATGGTTTACCTGTAACACTGAAGCACCTAGAAAACTAATAAAACAAAGGAGTATGAAGCTACACATGTCTTCAGTATGCAACTTATTTTATGGTCACTATTTATACATGGGTGTAATCTACAGCTAAACTTCCAGACTTAAAACACAAGTTCCTTCAAAACCATCATCAAGGGTTCTTAGTGAATGTCCATTAACCTGCATCTAGAGATTGTTGGGATGAAATAAGCCACAAAAGAAAACTACTTAAAATGCCATGTTTTCAAACTAATTGGTATGTGTGTAATGGTACATGTACTCATACCACATTGTGATGGTACAGACGTCAGGGTCCAGTGCAGGCAATCAAATGAAGAATACCTCAGTCACAAGTGGTCACCCCACTCATCCAGAAGTGGGCACACACACAGTTCCTTTTTTTAATTGCTTTTATTGCTAGCTGCTACAATGGCCAAGGAGTAGAAGAATGTACCACTGAAAGCAACCAAACAAAGCAAGAATGGTTCGTTTTAGACGAAAGGAGCTTCAAAACTTGACTTTTGGTTTCAAACCAGCTAAATAAAAAAGGTTTTTGTTCCCAAGTCAAACCAGTTGAGAGGAAGAGGTGGTTATGTGGCAAGCCAACGAGGACCAATTTTAAAGCTGTCCTCTGGCATCTAATAACTTCTGTTAAATACTAGAATATATTTATTGGGCTTCAACCTCAAATGGACAGCACACTCGGTAAACAAAGAAGCTGTTAGGGTTATAAACTTTTAATTAATGTGTATTTTCACATCAAAAGATAGTATTTAGTTCCGAGTCATCTCTTTTTGCTTTGTCTAGATCAAATGAGTAAAACAGATACTTCTCTTCACAGCATGTGTGATACCTTTTCTGCTTGAAGTTGATACAACTTTTAGTTTGACACATGGCCTATAGGGCACTTTTACAAGTCAGATAAGATAAATGAAAAGTAGAACATGATTTTTTTTAAAACTTTTATAGCAAAGTAAAACAAATTATAATTTACACCACCTGCAAGAAGAAAAGTGGCTTTTTTTCCCCTCAGCTTAAGGGAGATTCATTGTCTGTTAAAACAAGTAAAAAAAAAAGGGAGGATCAATTAGGATTTGGTATTTTTGTTGTACTGAACCTGAGGTTGAACCAAACAGTATGTATGTGTACATTTAAACTCCTATTCTATTTTATAATTGACTGAATTTTACATTTTTGAACTGTTTTATATTTGTATTGAATTTAACTCTGTGTGACTGGACTTAATTTGTAATAAGTTGTTTATGACTTTTGTTCTAAACTGGTGCAAATAACCTAAACTGAATTGAATACACTCAAAGTGGTTCATTTACACGTCCCAGGTTAGAGTTTGCCCTTGGCACAGTTTGAGCTCATTAATCAAGTTGCGACACTAAGACTATATTTTTAGGTTTATAAATAGATCAATGTTTAAAGTAAAATTATGCTTATAGTATAGGTCAAGTACACACAATGTCTTGATGGATTTAATTAGGTATTTACATTCTCCCATGCATCTCCTTTGGGTAATGTCTTCAAAATTAGACTGTGTAAGTAAAAACAATGTGAAAATTCTCAAAGCCATTTACTCATTAAGACAATATGGACACAATCCCTGACAGTAGAGCACCCTCAACCCCGAGGGTCTGTTGGTACTAACAAAAAGGGTAGGCAGGGGAAAAGGCCAGGCCTGATTGTTGATAGTAGAGAGTTTGTGGCACAGGAAGCAAAGCAGGAGACAAATGGATCAACAGATGGTCTCCTTCAGATGCATCCCTGAGGATGACAGAGCAGCAAGGCACATGCAGAGAGAGAGAGACTCTAAACGAGACAGGCAGAGGAAGGGAGGCAGACACAGACAGAAAGAGGGAAAAGGAGGGCTTCGGTTGA